GCTCTTCGCGGCATCTACATCCCCTTGCAGCATTGTTTGTGGATTCCTAGTATCAAGAAAACACAGTGCAAGCCTCTATCAAGCTTAAGGAGAAGTGCTGGCATACAGCAAAGGAAGCCTAATAATAGGTCCCCGAAATCCTTTGAGCGCTGAGTTTATTGTGCTTTAGCATGGGTTCAAAACCCACAAAAGGTACTTAGGAATGGTTGTGTCCTGTGAAAGCCCGGGCGGCTACAGGCAAATCTGGGGCTATTCAGCGGCAGAACAAAGATGAGACGTGCATCGGGACAGGCGTATTTGTCTGCTGAGGCCTGGGAATCTTTCAAGCCCGTTCCAGTGAGTCCTTTTGAAAATCAAGTCCGAATTTGAAAATATTTCTCTTCTTTTCATTGGCTTCCAAGCAAAAACCATCACGTCTTCCCCATGCTACAAGTGTGTAGGAAATCCACTCCACATCTGGACAATTAAACTGCCTGGAGATACTCCAGCTTTGAGGGCTTTGAAGAGAACATTTTAAACGTTGAAAGAAAACACTGATAAGCCAAAAATGAGGAGATGGGAGGGGTTCTATCAAATGAAATCTTTCATAAATCCGTGATCATGTACATATGTGTTTAATTGCGCCAGCAGTCCTTGTTCTGCTTTAAATTGCATTAATTTGAAACATTTTCATTGCTCCTCGCATTTACACTTGGAGATACTGATGTGCTTTCCTTTTTCTTTCTTTTTTTTTTTTTAATTAATAGGATTTCAAGCTGCTGAGATAATTTTTGAGCGAGATAATTACTGGCCTGTGCCACTGCACACCATATCCTAGCAGTCTCTCTCTGAAAGCCTTTAATAAATAGCACGACATTTCAGAGCTTTGCTCCCTATAGGAAATGACTGTGCCCCATATTCCGTTCCCGTCCCCTTTTCAGATGGCTCTTTGGGCTTCTCAGTGTTGTTGGAGGGTTTGTAGCCTGGCTATGTGTGCTTGCTGTGGTGGGAGTGTTTTTCCACTCTCTTTGGTGTGAAATTCCAGGTACAGTATTATGTCACATCAGATCTTCGAGCAAAAATGTATCTTGGCTCCAAAAGAAAAGATTAATGGAAAATCATTCTAAACCTGCCAGGAAAATATTTTTTTTCCCCTTCAGCATGAAAACAAAGTGTAGAGTCAGCTGAGAGAGCTAAGGATTAAAGGGAAAGTAATGTTCCTCACTTCTCTTCACCCTACTCCCAAATTATCTAAAAGCTCTTGGAGAAAACTGAGCAAAATAAAGAAAAGCAACTTGATTTATTCCACTGTGACAAAGTCCCTTATTAGTGGGGCTTCACATCGGTATAAACACTAAGGTTGCTTTTTTTCCAGCAGTGCTATTCTTGGCAAATCATTTCTAGCAAAACGAAGCTTAAAAATAACTGGATAACACAAAACAATTCCTTTGGCTCCAAAGCCCCTTTGCCTTTTATCTCTCTAGCAGTCACAGGAAGTTTTGAGTGCTATGTAAAAGCAGTGAATTATAGCATAGGCAGCCCTGCTTGTTTACTGTCATATTTTATTAAACTGGCTACAGTGCAGTAAACTTCAGAAGAGGCAAAAAAATATGGCGAGGGAGAAGGAGGGGCAAGAAAAGGACTGACAAAGTGAGCCCGTAGCAAGGTTTCAGAGGTGGATTTTTATGCTTGAATACAGTGAGATGAAGTTAGGGCATGGTCAGGAGGGTGCCTTGAACGGAGGGACATGTGGGGGTGAGATGTGGGCGCTTCAGGTGGAACCCCCGAGGGTGAGAAGGTGCCCAAGGAAACAGTCCTGCACCCTACCTGGGATAATGTCCTCATGCCAAGTGGCCGCAAGCCAGCGGAGCAGGTGGTGGGCAAAAACTAGAAACATAACCCCAAACCTAGGAGAGGTGCCCCCAAACCTAGGAGAGGTGCCCAGCTCCGCATGCTCAATACTTTTGATCAATCCAGAAAGAAAAAAAAAAAAGAAAAAGAAATCCAACTTGTCCAGAGACAGGGCATTTCAAAGGGGTAAGTTATTTCCACATTCAATCAGCCAGGACTGAGCTTTACTTATTAGCACATGCAAAGCTTCTGGCAATTTTGAGAGGCCACAAATGTCCCTGTCCTTTCTAACGCGATTAAGACGTTGTTACATTATCACTATGGAGCCTGACAAAACATCGCGTGCTGTGCAGCAGCACTCAAAGAAGTCATGAGTTTTAGCCAAATTTGGACGCAAAGAGGAACATTTCTCATAACTGAACGAGAGCGTTTTCTGCCATCTGTAGAGGCAGCTCTGCAGTTCAGCTCTTCCTGCGGTCTCGTGTTTGACTTATTAAACTCCGGACATAGAGCTGTGCAACTGGCAGGCACTTTGCGCTGCTCAGGGAACCCCCAGATCAAAGGGAGCATTTCAGAGAAACACCCAAATTTTGACATAGAAATTAACAGCCATAATGCTTTGGCATTGGTCAAACACGCTGTTCAGTTCAGCCTCACATGAAGTGTTTCATTTTGGGAGAGCAGGAGGTGGCTAGGTTCTCTCAAGCATTCTTGATGTATAAAAACTAAATTCATTTCAAAGTAAAACCTGGATGTCAGGAGAAAATATTGACACTAGACAGAAATTCAAATATCATTTTGTTTGCCTTTAGTTTGTATTTTTGGTGACATTTGACCAAAAAAATACAAGATTATTACCAAGATCCACCTTGTGCAAGCTCCCAAAACAGAATTTGAGTCAAAGGGATTCATTTTCTGTGATGGGGAAAAAATCCCTAGACCTCTCTTTCCACAGCTCAGTCCACAGCTTCCACAGCTTTCATTGTATTTGAAATAGTAAAAGAGTAATTTAACAAATTTTCAAGCTAAATTAAGCCTCAGCACTTGCAAAGTTCTCCTGTGTAGTGAAGCAAAGCCATAATTGACAGATCAGTCTCGATTTAAATTAGCCCTTGGGAGGATTAGCTATGTGGGGATTAAATCCTTTCAAATCTGACCCAATTCCAAAAAAAAAAAAAAAAAAGCTCTGTAAGCCAGCTAGTTAAAAATGTACTTCTATTACCTGAGAAATTTGTCTCTCCTTCAGACTGACAGGGTTGCTGTGTTAGAAACAAGCTCGCTGCTCTTCTCTTAGACTGGCCCTGAAAACACAACCTGAGAGGACTCATTTTTGTAAATCTGCACAGGTAGATATTCCATATAATCTGTAAATTAATTCTTTACACCTTTCCTTTCTTTCTTCCTTTATTTGGAAGCCAAAATGCAGGATTTTTGTGTAAAATAATGAGCAAAGGCATAACATTCCCGGGTGGTCTTAATCTTCCTGTCTTGAATTTATATTTTTATATCTCAGGGATGGAACATATGGGCAGAAAGGAATGTCAGACAGGCAGAGTATTAGGAACAGACAGAGCAGCGTAATGCAAGCAACCTTCATGTAACTAATTTACTATGTGTTAAACTGGATCAAATTCCTACAAATGTGATGTTAAACACTTACGTATGGCAGTATATTTTTATGGAACAGGATTAAGAAATGATGTAAATTTCCAAGCATAAAATTTCGGCTAATCAAAATCTCTTGGCAAGTTGATGTTTTTCATTTTGAATGAACAGTCCATATTACTACTTTGTCTCCAGAAAACACCATACTTTCATATAGATCCCTTGAAAATTGCATGGGTAATTTCTTTTCCTGACTCAAAGAATTTCCCTGCACCCCTCTCATTTATTTCCATATATTTTATTATGGACAAATCAGGTATTTTCTACTAAAAACAGAGCTTGTATGTAAAACACAAGTAACTGCACATCCACTGGAGGGACTGCATTCAACCAAATTTCCCTAGTTGCTGATCCATAGCATATCAAAAAGATAGAAGAGGAACATTTCTGTTTAAAGGGGAATGTCAGAGACTGGACAAGATGGGCAGAACTTTGAAGAAAATATTGCAAAAATATTTTCTCCAAGTTGTCATCATCACTTAAGTCCCTAATATACCATTTTGGGATAGAGAAAAAATCACGGCCTGGCACTGCTCTGGCGCTGCTGTTTCTTCCTCTGTTCACATCATCTGGCCTTCAGCTGCAAGGCTACATCTGGAGTTACCACTTTTGATCTGAGCAGCCAGCTCAAAATGCAGATTCTTCTGTCTTCCAACCAGAAGGAAAAGAGGAGATGGACTGAGACAGCACCAAGGTGCTTCCCTGTATTTACAGTTCCTGCTCAAAGTCTGATGTCCTACACACAGGAGGTCTCAGACCACCCTGCTCATGGATCTGAGCACCTTTCCATCCATCTTTGGAGCACGGGTCTCCAGTACAGGGCAGCAATTTGTGCAGGAAATTTCTTGGTAATATCCCTATGGAGCACAACCGAGACCAGAGGGTAGGCAAAGGAGCTGATCCAACGTTGGTATTGTGACACTTGTGCCAACATTTGACTGAAATCACAGGCTCTGTGAGACACAAAGGCTGGTCATGGCATCGCCATGAGGCCATGAGGCTGCCATGGCACCTTGAGAGGTCCCACAAAGCCTCCTGGAAGCAGCAAATACAAGAAACAGGACAAATACCACTCTTTTCACTACAAAAGTGTTCTGTTTGAATTTGAGATGCCAGCTATGGGATCTGGAATACGGGAATAAAGCGGCAACCCATTGCCGTTCTGCTTGGCAGCAGGCAACACTCTCCGAAATGACATCATGAACAAAACGAGGAATGCTCCTGCGTTTTGCAGGAGAAAGAGCGTTGGTGGGAAGAAGGTGGCTCTAAGGAAAACCATATGAGTGGGAAGGGATGGACTATTCAACTTTTTCTACCCTTAATTATAAAAGCCTGTTGGAGAACGCATCAGCCATGGCTTTGGCTTGCAGGGTGCTCCTGCGCCTGGAGGACACACCAAGGGCAAAAGACTCCGTGACCTGGAATCGCACCCTGCCACTTGACATCCGCCAGTATTGAGGGGCATGAAGAATGCAGAAAAGTTTTCCCAACAGAGCCTTATTCATGGGGAGAGGCCGCCGGAGAGGGAGCTGCAGGGGCAGCTCCTTCATTAGAAGAAGAGCAATTGCAGGGGGGAAACAGAGACGGGTGGATGTGCAAAGAAAAGCCGCTTTTGTGCAGCAGATGTTTTCAGCCTGCTCATGGGAAGGCTTCTTCCAGCTTGCACTCAGGGAGGCCAAGCGCGGGGACACAGATCAATTCAGGAGTCATAGTCCTGTTGAGTAATTTTCTACTGGGGAGATGCCAGGGTGTGTTTGTCTGCACGTTGAGATGTCTCAATTCTCTCCTGCAATGACAGTTCCCTCTCCACTAATGCTTTTGCTGTGTGAGTTACCAAAATCAATTTAGCTGAGCAACTTCCCAGCACACGCAGCCTGAGCATCAGAGTTGATATTTGCACATTGCCTGGCTGCAACTGAAAATAAGTTGTGTCTTACACTTGAATGTTGAATCTGAGCAAACTGGTCACACTGGAGTGTAGTCTGTGAGAACAGATGCAAAATTAATCAGATACCAATTTTTCTGTTTCTTAAACCTATGACTTGTGTACTTTTATGCTAAAATCTGACTCTTCCCATGTTCTGCCCACCCCACACGAGTGACATTTGCATGACTGGCTCCCAAGCAAACCTGGCTTTGGTGGTCTTGGCGCTGGTAAATGCAGCAAGGCCCTTACTTGTGATCTGAGGGTCCCTGTAATGGTGAGGGTTTGTGTGAGTAAAGAAGCGCCAGGAGGAACAAGCTGCAGGGTGACTGCAACAGGAAGGCCCCAACTGCCAATTGCCACAAAGCTGCATATAGCACCAAAAGCACCACCATATGCATGTAGGGCATTTCTGCTCTTTCTGGCAATGGAAGGACTTTTGTCTGACCTCTATGATTGCCTTTCCTGGCTTTCCTGGGGAAGGTCACATAGCCAACTGGGTAAAAATAACCAACGCAGATGTCCCCCAACCAAAGACCCACAGACTGTCGGCCTCGGTCACGCAGTGCCACTGCTGCACGGCTGGCAAACCCACACAAGGAGCCGGCATCCCCATGGGCAGCAGGGACAGATGCCATCCATCCCACTCACTCCCACAGTGTGCCAGCCTGGGCCTCCATCTCTGATTTCTGCCAGCTAGCAACCTCGGAGAGGAAGCGTTGCCCGGTTGAGAGGCCCAGAGCTTTTCATGGGGTTCCTTCGCCCATCGCTTTCCTTCTGCTGCTGCCTCCTGTGGCAATTGCTTAAAAGGTTTGGGGGACCAAACTTTTTTCCTCACCCTCTTGGGGTACTTTAAAGGTAAGCAAAATATGCGCATTGTGATGAGCTGACTCCGCTCAGGCCTGGTCCCAGGGACATCCTGGGAGTAGGCCTGCCATTTGGCCAACACAAGACTGGGATTTCACAGCAGAAGGATATAAATCAGCAGACTGTAGACTGTAGCAGACTGGAGACTGTAGACGGTCTGCAAAGTACAGGGTGTGCTTGGCTATCAAAGCAGGAGCACTAACATGCCACCAACCATGCACGTGAGTTATGAGCAATTGAACATAGATGGGCCATTACTCACACTGTGGAGGCAGAAAGCTCTATGGATTAACGTGAATTTTGGCAGCTGAGAACCAAGCTGGTGCTCTGGGAAAAAGACACCACCAGGCAGTAGGTTAAGGTCTCTGGGAAGGTGGTGGAGTTGTCACTGTAAAAGGAGCCTTGCCCATAGGTATGACTGAAAAGCTGCAAGTATCTGTTACAGCAAGTATGGGGCACGTCTAGGGTAAGGGCTTCTCCTCTGCCTCATGGTGATCCAGGATCCTGGAGGGAAGCTGGGCTTCCCCTCCCTGTAATGTCACAGCACCTGGACTGGCCTTCAGGCATTGAGGACTGCTCATCTTGGAGTCTGCCTCAAGGGTCCCAGGACTTCCCTCCGGCTCAAGCCTTGAACCAGCTAATCCTCTCTGTGTTCAACTTCGTCATCCTGAAGGGCCGCTTCTCCAGTTCCTTGTTTCCATTCTGCAAGAGGGGCATCTAGGAGAGGTCCACACAAGTATCTCAGCTGACTGACTTCAAGGACGTCTGCTGTCTTTGAGGTGGGGATAGACACGGCCCTGCAATGTAAGAGGAGCATCAGCCAGCGCTTGAAGGAATATTTCTCTTCCTTTCTACACACACATCTGCAGAACACTCGCTGGATAAGAAAAATAATATTTCCTGGATAATAATCCCAAAGTATGCTTCCTTGATGTGCTGAACTAGGTGATTTTATGACGAACCCTCTGTGACTGGTGATAAGAGACCAGTGCTGAGAGGATTTCCAGTTGTTCTTTTACTGTGTTGTCATTTGTTTTGAGCTTCTCTCTTTGTTACCTAGTTTTGCCTAGACCTTTCTCTAAGAATGAGGAAAACCCCTCTAATCACCCTCTGTCTAATCTTAAGGGAGAAATTCAAGTAACTGGCAAAGTAATAAATCCTCACTACAGATCATCACTAGTTTTTCTCATGAAGATAGAAAAAAAGACTTTTACCACTGGCTGGAGAGGGAGAAAGCAAAGGTTAGTGCAATTTTTCTGCTAAAGAAATATCCTTCCTTCCATGCAGTTATTGCACTAGCTGGAGCCTATGTGGTGGGACTATGAGTCATGACACCAACAGCTCTGCAAGTGCACAACTATTCCTATGTCCCAACAAAAGCAATTCTGTACCTAAGGTTAATAAATTCTTGAAACATCTGTGAAAGGTCATGGAACAACATGCAACTTCACGACAGACTTGCTTCTGAGGTCCCACATTTCAGTGAAAATCTCTGCCTCTCAGTGCATGCTGCCAAAAAGTTATATTAAAAATGTGATACCACAAAAGAAAAGGAAAAATATTAATAATGCATGATGCTG